CTATAAAGTAGTATAATTACCTAGTCTAGCTTCTATATATTAGATTAGAGTTAGTAGTTATTTCTACTTTACGTTTAGAAAATTTACTTTAATAAAGCCTTTATCTACTAATATAATAGCAGCGCTAGTGTTAGAGTAGATAATAAAGTTTAGCTCTTCTCTTAATAACTTTACGTAAAGTTTAAGCTTATACTAATTCTAAAGTATTATTAAGCCTTTAATAGGTAGAGAGGTAGTTAACTTAATAATTTAAATTACTTTAGTAATTTAGGCTTTACTAATAGACTTTATCTATAAAGAAATCTTTAGCTTCTTAACTTTATCTAAGTTAAGAAGTATTATAGTAAAAACTTCTATAATAAGGTAGTCTTTACAAACATATCTATAGAGAAGGTTATTAGACTTAAAGCTTCTATTATAATAAGTATATATAATCTAGTAGCTTCTTTAAGTTAGAGTCTTTAACTAGCTATAAGTTAAAGTTCTAATAAACTATTATTTCTCTTTATCTTTCTTATTATTCTTATTAAAAGTATTAACTAGTACTAGAAGTTATTTATAGAGCTTGTAATGTATATCTTAGCTTACCTAGATTCTTAGATTAAAATTATTACTTATATTATTATAGTTATAACTATTCTAGAAGAAGAAAGTAGATTCTTTAGAGTTAGAGTAGTACGCTTTTATAGCTTATTTATAGAAGTCTAGAGTATAGTCTATTAGTATGTCTTTATTAATAAACTTACTAGATTAGATATTCTTAAAAGTATAATTATAGTACGCGCCTTATATTCTTCTATATAATTAGTTTTAGTTACTAAGCTACTAGCTTTCTAATTATAGATCTTAGTTAGCGTTCTCTCTCTAACTATACTAATTACCTTACTTTTAGAAAGTATTCTATAATAGATAAGATTTATACCTACTTAACTAGTTATAACTATAGCTATTACTATTACCTTAAGAGGCGTTTTACTAGTAAGAGTTAGAATAGCTATAGCTATTACTACTATTCTAGTAGTTAGAATTTTAAAGTAGATAACTACTCTAAGAATATTTATAACTACTATAGTTCTTATATACTAAGTTATTACTACCTTAAAAGTCTAAACTACTATACTAGTAATAAAATATAAACTTACTATTAATAATCTTATTCTTAAATATATTAATAAGAGTATATTTTTATTCTTTAATTATTATAAGAAACTAGTCTAAGAATATAGTAGAAGTTAGTTATAAAAGAAGAATATAGATATATAAGTCTAAAAGGTTCTAAGCGTAAATTATATATTAATTATTATTATTATAGCTATATCTAGTATTTTAGTAGAAACGCTTTACCTTTAGATACTATTCTACTAAGAAATAGCTATTAACTATATTCTTTAGAGTGTAGGTCTATTTCTAAAGCTAGCTTATAGCTTTTACTAGTTAGATATAGAAGAAAGTAAGCTTTTTCTTCTATTTATTAAGTCTATCTTCTCTAATAGCTTTAAGGCAGCGTTCTACGCTAAAGTTAGACTAGTACTAAAGTTAAGCGTTTCTCTTAAAGTACTAGTAGAGGTTATTCTATATAGTGTATTTAAGTATAGTTCTAGAAGTAATAATAGTCTTAGCTATATTAAGAAAGTTCTAAATATACCTATAATAAGTTTTGCTAGAAATGTTAGTAATATTATCTAAATAGTTTTAGTATTTTATATTAGAGTAGAAATAACTAATTATATTAGCTTAGAACTTAAGAGAGCTATCTATTACTTTAATAATAGTATTATCTTTAGCTATCTTTACTTCTTATAGAGTAAGCGCGTATTAGCTATTAGTAAAACCTAACTAAGAGTATAAGCTAAGGTAGTTAGACTATACTATAAAGTTACTACTAGACTATATTATAGAGAAATAAGGCTACTATAATATAGTGCTAGCTTACTAGTAGTAGTTATACTTAACTATAGAGTTAATAATAGAGGCGCTATTTATATTAGAAGCAGAAATAGATACTAAGCTATTAGCACTAGTTATATATAGATTTATATTATTAATACTATATCTATAGCTAAGTCTAGTATATAAATGTTATAGAACGTGTATATGCTAGATTTAAAAAGCGTTACTATACTAACTAAGTATATCTACTATTCTATATTTAAAAGTTATAAATATATTTATTATCTTAGTCTAGCTAATAGATTTATAGTAATATTATAGTAAGCTAGTAAGTATACTACTTCTAGTAGAGAAGAATCTTGCGCTATTATAGTTCTATAAAGTATTATAGAAAAAAGGCTAATATAAGTAGCTTAGAAGAGTATTATAAAAAGTAAGTTAGAGTGCCTAGTTCTATAGGCTAGTAGTAGTAGTAGTAGGCCTACTAATATTATAATAGCTACCTATTCTAACTAAAGAATATATAGCTTTAGAAATCTAGTAGTTCTTTTATTATAGTTATAAAGGTAGTTATAGCCTAAGTAGTATTATGTTTAAGCCTATTAGTAGTAGATGCGTAGCTTTAGAAATCTAGTAGTTCTCTTATTATAGTTATAGAGGTAGTTATAGCCTAAGTAGTATTATATTTAAGTCTATTAGTAGTAGATATATAGCTTTAGAAACCTAGTAGTTCTCTTATTATAGTTATATAGGTAGTTATAGCCTAAGTAGTATTATATTTAAATCTATTAGAGTAGGTAGATAATATTCTATCTAGTTATACTTAATAGCTATAAATCTAGTAAGTAGTATAGAGATTAGTCTTAGTTTAGAATACTTAAGATATAGTATATAAGAAAGATATAGTTAGTCTATTACTAGGTACTAGTAAAAATTTTATTTCTTAGGCTACTATAGCTATAAGTTATACTCTAAGAGAGTAGATTTAGTATCTTACTAAGCTATTTTTCTTTTACTACTCTACTTATAGACCTTCTTAGTAGGTAGTTATATAAGCGCAACTTATTTAGGTAAGATATATCTAAAATTAATTATAGTAGTAGAGTTAGAGGTAGTATAGTCTTTAGGTAAAACTTTACTTTAAAGAAGATATGCTAGTTACTATAAAGGTACTTAGAACTCTATATATAATAAAGCGTAGCTCTATACTTATAAAAAAACGTAGCTAGATAGTTATAAAATAGCGTAGCTAGAAGAGCGTAGTATATTTAAGTAAGTAGACCTTAGCCTTATAGATAAACTACTCTAGATATAAAACTAGTAAGACTTACTAATAAGTAATATATTACTATAGGCGTCTTAAAGTTCTAAAGAAGTCTCTTAGTAGGTTTCTACTTAAGGTAGTTACTAGTTACTAAGAGTAAGTAGTAATATAAGCGTAGCACGTGCTAATATCTAGTTATAGTAATAAGAGCTTATAGTATATAGCTTAGTAGTAGACTTAAAAAACTTAACTTTTTTTATAAAATTCTTACTAGCTTTACGTAGCTCTTTAGAGTAGAAAAGCTAAATAGAAAAGTAGTCTAGCTATAAATTACTTTTAAATAAAAGTTAGCGTAGACTAGAAATAAACTAAGTTTCTACTTCTAGAAGAATAATATCTACTTATAAGTAGCCTTAAAAAGAGCTTAGAACCTTAAAAGTCTTAATAATACTTTATACTATTTATAAGACTTATAGTATAATAGTAAAGTAGTAGAGGTTAGTTTTAATAAATATAATAATATTATAAGCGTAGATAATAGTGTTTCTAGAGAGAGCTAGTAAACGTATTAGACTAGGCTCTCTAATATTAGTAGAGAGTTAGATAGTAGTTATAGATTAGGTAAAAGTTAGTACTAGTAATTAGTGCAAATATAGTACCTTAGAAAAGGTAATTATATTTATTAGAAATCTATAGGCTAATAAAGTAAGCGTTAGAAAGTTTAATTTAATAGCTTCTATTATTAGAAAAAGTGTTTAAAACTATAGTAGTGTATAAAGAAGAAGCTATAAAATAAGTAGTAGAAAGCTTTTTATTCTAGTAAAAATCTAGATAGTAGTTCTTTCTACTAAGCTAAGTATATACCTACTAGGTTTAGGTAGAAAAGCTTATCTATAAAGTTAGAACTTACTATCTCTAGAGTTATAACTTTCTAAAGAGTAGTTTATAGTATTAGAGTTTATATAGTAGCTAAAGTATTAGTAAATATAAATTATAGTTTTATAGTAGTTATAATTTACGCTAGTAAAGTATAGAAAGTCTACTATTACTAATATTACCTACTATAGATTTAGTAGTATATATACTTAAGAAAACTATATAGTGTAAAGCTTTATCTAGCGTAATTATTTTACGTAGACTAGTATTTAGCTTAATTCTATTATTAAGATTATTTCTAAAAAAATATTACTCTAGTTATAGAGAGAGGTAGTTGCGTAGTATATAGTAGGTTATAAAAGTTACTAAAATATATAGCTTATACTATTATACTTAACTTATTTATAGTATTATAGTAGTAGTATTATAGAAGTTATAAAACTTAGTTTATAATATAGAGATACTTATGTAAGAGTGTTAAAAGCACTAAAAAGTAGTAGTAGTGCTAGAAATAATAGCCTAGTATTAGGTTATAAAGAATAATAGTAAGCTTTTTTTTTTTTTTAGAGAGTAGCTACTAAACTACAAAGTATATAGTGTATTAAATTGTTATTGTAAAAGCTAAGGTGCTAACTACTAAGAAAGGAGAGCCTATGTACCCGTGAGGTAATCACGTAACAATCACTATCATTACTACGATCATGAGACCTAGGGTTCCTACATCAACTGTCCATCAAATATTCTACCCGCTGAGAGCGCGGGTTTCATCTGTAGTTAGAAGTAGACGCTTCAAGACCCCGTCTTCATGTTGCAGAGGCGCGTTCCTGTCGGCAAAGGCTAGCCTACAGAATACAGACCACCGCGAGTTGTTCGAGTTTACTTCTGGCAGATGGATGTATACCACCTCACATTGTTTCACTCACTCAACTGTTGGCTGACGTGAACATGTAGTGTTAACGAGTCTTTGCGCATGGCTGAACGCCGCTTAGTCTTCAACGTCTCCGAACTCAAGAAGGTAGCTGCGAAAGCACTAAACAGACCAGCTTCAGATGTGCACGCGATAAAGAAGATCGCCGAAGGCGGTTTCAACCGCATACTCGAATTAACGATGAATGACAGCTCGTCGGTACTCGTCCGTCTTCCATACCCATCTACCTTACCACGACGCCTGGCAGTAGCGAGTGAAGTCGCAACGCTGGACTTCCTCCGCACCAAGGGCATACCTGTACCTCGGGTTCTGAGCTACTCGACTGGTGAAAACGCTGTCGGTGTAGAATATATGCTGATGGAAAAACTACCAGGAAAGCCTCTTAGTGATATCTGGTTCAGCTTAGCCGAAGAGGAAAGATGTCATATTTTGCACAAAATAGTCTTGATGGAAACCAAGCTCTTCGCGAACAGGCTTCCCGCCTGTGGCAGTATATACTACTCCCATGACCTGCCTCCGGGAATGCCCCGCATAGGTATTCCTGGACCTAGCGACTTGTGCGTGGGGCCATATGCATCTATGCGATGGTGGTACGGAGAACGTGCAGAACTGGATATCGACCGAGGCCCTCGTGCGTCATTTGTTCTAGACTTCTACAACACTGAGTCTGACACAGACAGATATCGACACTCAGCTCGTTCTTCGAAGTCATGCCGAGAAGGAGTTGGCGTGGATCGGCAAACACGGACGGCCACGACACCCATTCTATCGCGAATACGCTGAGTCATTTGGATACAAGAAGCAAGATCCTCAAGGCCACATACATTCGCTAGGAGACTACATACGCCTCGTGCCTCACCTTGTACCTAAAGATGCGACAGTGCATTCGCCCACCCTCCGACATCCAGATCTCTCTCCTAATAACATCCTTGTATCTGACGATCTTCAAATCACCGGCTTCATCGACTGGCAGCACTCCGAAGTCCTCCCTGCTTTCCTCGCCGCGGACATACCAGCGGCATTTGCAAACTACGCAGACGAAGAGTCTCGAAGCTTTACGGAGCCCAAACTACCGGAAATTCTTTCTTCTATGGCTGAAACTGAGCGTGCTGAGGCAGAAGAACTATATCGCCGACAACACATACATTTCTGGTACCTTGGCCTCACTCAGATGCTGAACGAGCCTCATTGGCAGGCTTGTACACACGACGGAACTTTCATGACACGTCAGATATTTCACGATGCCGGCGCTCCGTGGCAAGGTGACAATGCTCATCTCCAGATCGGTATCGCGGATGTTGTGGAAGAATGGCCAGTGTTTGCATCTGCCGCCACAGACGGCACGGTTCCGCCATGCCCCATCATCATATCCGAGGAAGAGATGCAGAGAAGAGCAGATATGCGGAAGTCACTGCACGAAGGCAACATGTTTAGGGAAGAATTATGCGAGAAAATGGGTGTATCCCATAGCGGATACACATCGCACGAAGACTTTGACTTCGCGAAAGAAAAAGCAAGCAAGGCAAAGGAATGCATAGTGGACAACCTGAAAGACGAACCGGAGGAACTGGATAGAGCCTTACTTACTTGGCCTTTTGATGACTATGACGAGAATGAATAAGGTCATTGTTCTCGTCCTCCATGTACACTATTAGCATATGAGCGTTACAGCGTGACGACGTGAATATTACTCCACTCATGTGATTGTACACCATCCTTTAGAGACACTCGCACAAGACACGTTTGTGACATCGCAAGTTCTGTTGCACGCGCTGTATCTGACAAGCGCCCGTACGTGTGTGGTGGAGGTTGAAGATGGCTATCTGAGTAATGCAGTCGTGCAACTCAATTGCGGGGCCACCTGGCACATCGTTGCGTACAAAGCAGTCGCGCAAGGCTTGCATATGCGATACGTTTCTGCATGTGAGTATCAAGCCCTCATGAGATTCGTCGTTTACACCTGCCTGAGCGTGTTCAGCGCACATGCTTCTGATCCTGCCTGGTCTGTCAGCCTTCTTTTTTGTATACGTCATCACTCCGGATCTCAGGCCACCATCATCAAGATCGCGCTTCAGGGGCACAGCCTCATCACCAAACTTCCAGTCCATCCGTCACAGCGGTCGCGCAATTCGATATAGTAGCCTGCATCAGCTGCGGTACACAGCCAAGGCGGAAAGACAGGCGTTACGCGCCAGGAACCGATTTTGGGAACGCGTGGGACGCACACGGCAAATCTCTCACCACCCAGACCGCGCCCTCGCCCGCGCCGAACCACCCCACATCAGCCTTCAACATCATGTGCATCGGGAAGCTTTTGCCTGCTGCATCTTGCGGGCGGTGCTTGGTGCCTGCTCGACTACTGGCTTGGACATGCGATTGATGATGTGCTCTGACGCCTGATTGGCCAGTCCAGGCGTAAGAAAAGAAGAAGCTGAGGCTGAGGCAGTCAACCATTGTCCAAATGTGGGCTACGGCAGGCTCGCTCCTGATGCGTTCGCGGGACGTTGAGTCCTTCCCAGGCTCAGCTCGCGTCTGTAGGGATGATGCCTTATAACAAGGCTTCGCACCGTTTACCCGCCCATCACGACTGCAACTTATCCGATACGACACCATCTGGATATCTCATCGAAGGTACCTTTACAGAAAGCACGGTTAGAGATATTCGAATACAGCACCGGTGGAAAGATCATCTAATTGGCTAGCAGAATGGCATACGCCGAGCGCCTTCCATTGTTGAACGAGAAGGCCGCACATGCCTATCAACTGCAGAGGGAGGATGAGACTTTCCAAAACTCGACGAAATCAGCGGAGCGAAGTTTAAGCGACATCCTACGCCATGTTGTTCTACTGCCTCTTCTCTGCGGCTTCGCCGTGTACGGATCCTATACCTTTTGCAGACAACATCTCATCAGGCACACCATGCTGTCAGTGCCAGCACACGAAAGCTCTACTTCTTTCAACTACACATGTCTACCGGGACAGGCTTGTTGGCCGACCATGAACGATTGGAACGCTTTCAATCAGAGCATCAATGGCAACCTCCGATTGACGGTACCTTGGGCCGCCCCGTGCTACTCAGATCCGTCGAGCACGCAATGTCAAGAGATCGCGAGGAACTACGGCGATGGCGTCTCACGCACGAATCACTACGGGTCGACGGAGTTTCTTGACTGGGAGAAGTGTGACACGTCGCAATGTGCACTTAACTCGTTCAATACCTCGGAACCTGTTTCCGGTACCTGCTCGCTTGGTAGACTCTCCTCATACCATGTTAAAGCTGGGACTGGGCATGATATCAGCAAGACCTTGAGCTTTGTGCGCAAGCATGGAATTCGTGTTTCGATCAAGAATACTGGACATGACGTAAGTTTTGACTGTACGAAGTGCATGTGAGACATAGACTGACTTCGTACCTCTACCTCTGCAGTACTACGGACGATCAACCGCGCCAAATTCTTTGGCGATCTGGACTCACAACATGAAGGACACCCAGTATCACGAAACTTTCCAGCCCAAAGGCTGCCAGACTCGCTATGACAACATTGGAGAGATCGGTGCCGGTGTCCAGGCCCAGGAGGCGTGGGAGGCCTTTGAACCTCATGGCATGCACGTCACTGTTGGAGCCGTCGCCTCTGTCGGCATCGCTGGTGGATATGGTCAGGGAGGCGGGCATGGTCCACTTGGTCCGAAATATGGTTTGATGGTTGACCAAGCTGTCGAGTTCGACGTTGTCACCGCCGACGGAGAACAGCGTACCATTAATGAATGCAGCGACCCGGATCTTTTCTGGGCAATGCGCGGAGGCGGAGGCGGAACCTACGCTATGCTCACATCTTACAAGTTCCAGCTCCACCCGGCCGATCCTATCAACGTATACAGCTTCCAAGCTCACTTTCCCGCGCCGAAGAACATTACAGAGTCGAAAGTACATCGCGACATCATCACCGGGCTTGCCGCAAACCAAACGCTATTTACCAAGCATGGAATCGCTGGATACAATTTTGTGCTCTCAGATCGTGTCGTGTTCTTGCAGGTCCTGCCCTCTAATGACACGGAGGCGATCAAAGACATCACGTCCCAATGGCACGACTTCTTGACGAACTACTCCGGTCTCAGCATCACCGAGAATGAGTATCACTCCTTCAAGAAGTTCTCGCAGTGGCATGAGTTCACGGAAAGACCCGAGATATCTCGCAATGGACCCGTGGGTCTAGGCTTCAATGGCGCGGGGCGCTTCATCCCCAAGAGTCTCTTCAACTCGTCCCACAACATCGACCGGCTCGTCACTGCAGTCGTCACCGCCATGCAATTTTCACGTGTCAACCATGGCAGTGGAGGCGCTCAGTTCTACGCTACCGGACCAGACAATACTCCTGACAACGGCAAGACTAGCGTGAATCCCATTTGGCGAGACTCGCTATGGGAAATTGTCATGGGCCAATTTTGGACCACTGCTACACCGCCAGCGGCTCGCTCGCAAATCCAACAGACTGTCTCTGCTACGATGGACATCTTGAAAGCCGTCACACCGAATGGTGGGTGCTACTCGAACGAAGGTGATTGGACCGAGGAGAACTGGCAACAAACGTTCTTTGGGGTGCACTACGAGAGATTGCTGGCCGTGAAGAGACGCTATGATCCAACAAATTTGTTCAACTGTTGGAAGTGTGTGGGTTGGACGGGATATGATGAGTGCGTATCATCGTCTAGATCTTGCAAACAAGAGCTAACTACCACAGCCCAATGTACTCTTGCTATGCGCAAACCCGACAGGAGCCGAGGCCTTCCGTTCCTCTTGGACCTGTTGGATGAGCGGATCGCGTCTATCAGCGATTACCTCCATGTCTAGCAGTCAACGTCGCGCAAGCCATGGCCGTCACTTTTATCTTGCCCTGGAACTTTGCGGTGTCTTTCTTTCCGGATTTTCTTGCTAAAATTATCCTTTTTCTTGTTTGCATCGCAAAGCAATTTACACTATTCACATTCAGGCAAACTCCCGCCTCAATCTCTCGTGTCACTTTCGGGGCCAACATGCACGTGCGGTGCGCCGACGCCCGGTGCGTTGCCCACCGCCGCAACGCGAGTGCACCCTGGTGAGCTTCACCGGCTCGTGAGAGAGCAACGTGTGGGGGCCGTGTGTGTTGCGTCTCCGTTTGTGCTCATCTAAGGCCTTGCCATTGGCAGGCCTCTGATTGGCCGGCCCCCATTTATTCACCGGCCGTCCAACGGGGCCAACGCGCCCCAACGTGGCATATAATTGTAATCCACGCTCACTTGCGCTTTCAGATCCCCGGGTGACGCAGGATCATAACAATAACAACAACAGTTTCCCAGCGACCTTTACTCCCACACTCCTTTACCTGCTCCGACCCACATCACGCGACACTCAACTGCCTCACCATACTCACTCGAACCCGTGTCTACTTACGCCGTCAGGTCCAGAATCCGATTCAAGATCACTCACGATGCACTTCAACGTCATCGTTGCGCTTGCACTGCCGCTACTCGCCGCTGGCGCCCATATCGGACGTCGCCATGATCACCATCATGAGAAGGTTGATCGCCGCGCCATACAGACAGACGTTGTTTTCGTCACAGAAACTATCATCAAGACCGTCACCATCGAGTCGGCTGCAAGCTCTGCGGCCTCTAGCTGCACGGTTACTACCACGGCTGCAGCGCCAGAACTGTCCATGACTGTCAAGCTCCCCGACAAGGGCATTCCTGACGACGCTTCCACTTCCACGTCTTCAGCTGCTCCTTCGTCTTCTCCAGGTGGTCCATACGCTACTCTCGAATCCATTCCGAACCAGGCCATTATCGTCAACTCATGTGATTACGACGTCTACGTTTCTTCTATCGGCAATGAAGAGACCTGCGACAATGGACCGGGCAGCGATTGCGTAACGATATCCGCTAACAGTATGTATACTGAAGCAATCCGTACCTGTCACAAGTCTGGTATCTCCCTAAAGGTCGCAAAGGCTAAGGATATGGCCCTCCCAATGCAATTCGAATACACAGTCTGGGATGACCAGGTCAAGGTATCTTACGACATTTCGTATCTCGATTGTATGACCAAGAACGGGACCAACTTTGACAACTGCGCCGGCCACGAGAAAGGCATTCAAGCCGCTGCCAAGGACGGCCCAGTCTTCCAATGTGTCGCAAATGAGCCATGCGCTCAACAGGCCTACGTCGTTCCCGAATTCGGATACTTGCCTGACGCCCCAGTTGGCGGTTCGACCATCGACAAGGGCGTTGCTTTTGAGATCTGTGCCGAAAACAGATCGTGAGCGTCGCCGCCACGCGGGAAGAAATTACGATCATAAGGTCGTGACCTGAACCTTTCTTTCCCGTGTCAACCCAACGAAGCGATCCGGCTATCTCTTTCGCAAACGTGGTGGAGCAAGAGTGTGTGTTGTCTGACTATAACGATATCTTCCAAACACTTTCTAACAATCTACGGCAGGCCCTGGATCACTTTTCGGGGTAGACAACTACATGGCCTCATGTTTCTTCTCTTCTTTAGTTTTCATTTCATTGTATACAATTGACTTCAAGGCTTTTTTTATCTCCTTCTTCTTCGAACAAGGGCATACACGAGTGGCGTTGGAGGATTTTGGGTTATGATCTTGCTGGCGCATGGATGGCAGCGGATGGCAGCCGGTGCTGGTGTTTCCCTATCTGGATACTTTCACTATCAGGATAGGATAGTTTGCTTGTAAGCCTCAATCAAGAGCATAGCACAAAATCTGCTTCCATCATGCGTTGATGTTGGTGACGTGAGGGCCCAGTGGCCGATGACATGCACGCGACGCTCAGACATCTCGGAGTTCTATGCGCAGCTTCGCCCTAACGTGGTACCCATGCACCGCCAACCACGGTTGGCTCCAACTTCCGTACAACGTCCGACGGCGTAGACACCACGATGATTACCGCTCGATTTTATTATGTCACTACCTGCATGCGCTCGACACGAAGACTGTCCGCACATAAACACCCGAGGTCAGTCTGCGATGTAGGATCTGGAGGTTTACTGACACATGGACTACTCACGATGAATTACTCACTTCTTCAGTCATGAAGTACGCTGTCATGAACGATATCTTCTTATACACATATCTCCACCTCTTTGTAGTCTTCTTCCTCCATCCACTTTTACCATCCTAATACAGACATCTCTGTTGCAAAGCTTACCGTAATACCAACATCTTCATCGAATCCAAATACTCAATAACGACGCATAGCGCACCCAGCTTCACACCACTGAAGCACAGCCCGTCTTTCCGTGCCGCAAACCAACAACTACGCATTTCCAACATGGCCGTACTACGCGCATGCTCGCCCATCGCAACGGCCTTACTAGCTCTCCTCCTCTTGCCGAGACCCGTCACAGCAGTGCCGCACAACCACGGGCACAAACACGTTCACCGACATGTCTCATCAGCCAACGACCTCATCACGCTCGGTCCTGAGTCGCTGGCACGCCGAGATACACCCTTGAACACTGGAGACCTTCCACGCCTCAGCGATGCAGATCTCGTTAAGATAGCACACAAATGCACCACCGGGCCAGCCGAACTTCCACTCAACCTCGGCGTACCCAATCCCGTCGATATCACTACGATAGAACAACTCGATGTCTTCCCCCGTCCGGAAAGCGTAGCTGGTACTGTGACTATGCACAACTACTGTGGCTACGACCTCTGGTGGTTTCATTACAATGATAATGGAGAGATTGAACACGGTCATCTACCCGCGGGAGGTACAGTCGCCAAACCGGCCGTGGGTTCAGTCATGAAGGTCACCAAGACGAATGCGTTGGGTCGCGAGTTGCTTGTCGAATACAATCATGACAAGAAAGATCCCTCGATTCTGTGGTATAATCTCAGTCTGATCGTTTGTATCGGTAAGGAGGACAGTAAGATCACCACCGATACCACGCAGTGCGCAGGTCATGAAGCCGGAATACAGCTGGGTCAACCCGAGTTTGCGTTCCAGTGCGAGGCCGGGAAATGGTGTGACGACCAGGCGTATTTCTATGGAGTAAGTCGCCAGCTTTTGCGTTGTGGAAGGAGTGTATTTGAAGGATGTGCTGAGCTAACGCTGTACTGTATAGGAGAACATTTGCAGAAAAGAAAACGCGATATACATGGGGAAGTTTGATCAGGGTGTGACTGCAGAGTTCTGTGTCGATTTGAAGGGCTAATTTGGATGTTGGTTGAGTGGTAACGATTCTGTTCTGTTAAGCTTCATTCATTCGTTCGTGCTTTGCGCATACATATAATTGATTTGCTCATTCCTACATACTTATCGACCCAAGTAGCCGTCATGCAAGGAGAACAGAAGTTTACTGACTCACAACCTGTGTCTGAAGTCCGCCTCGCCTAGCCTAACCGACTTCTCAAGAACCTCCTCAACTGTCCGATAGCCCCCTCATCCAACGTCTGCGCACAAGAATCCGACTCGATGTGCTGGAACAAGCTCGACAGTTTTGACATTGCCGCATCGCAAGTCGGGCACATGAATGGAGTAGCTTCATACAACGTATCGCCATCATCAAGCAGCTCACTCTGATAATCCGCGTCGATGAATTGATCCCATCTATAGCACTCGGCTGCCAACTTGTTGAGATCAGTGGAGTCAAGATCGCCGCAGGTGCCGCGTTCGAGATGGATGATCTGTGATGGTAAGTGATAAGCTGTCTTTGATTGGATACTAGACTTACCATGCCGCCGTAGGTCTTGAACATGCTCGTACATTCGTAGCACTTGTACCTCGGTGTACGATGGGAAAGCTGATGCTGCGTATCGTTAGCACGTGACGCACATCTGCCATACAGTCGTACCACTTACCTGGTGAAGATTGCTCGGTGAGTCAAAGTGCCTCTCGCACTGGATGCATACATTGGACTCTTCAACATGGTCCCAGTACTCCTTCGATCCGGGATGAAATAGAATTCCATCTCCATCGTTACAATCTTGAAACACGGTGTAACAGCCGTCGTCACGGCAGTGCTCGAGCAATTCGTCCCGGGTATCGCCGTCAAAGTCGCATTTGGAGCAGTAGTGGTGCTTTGTAGAGTGGCGGACGTGTGCATCGCGTGCGCCGAGAGTGCGGAAGGAGCGAACGCAGCGTTGACACCAGCTGTTTGGTGTTAGCGGAGGAAATGCAGGCATATTAGTCACTTACACAGCCATCTCGGGGAGTCTTGTTGTTGAACAGCGGCTAGTCGTAGGATCCGCGGAAGGGTTGATATCTTAGTAAGTAATGAGGAATTGCGTGAATGCCGCGTGAGCCCTGCATTGACCTGGTCACGTCGTGGTTGATCGGATGGCTGCCTGAATAAATGTGGCTCCATATCAGCGGCGCAAACAACTAACCGAAATAAAAAGAGTGAAAGCAAGCACAGCGGTACGTGGTCAATGATATATTTAGCTAAACGGCTATTCAGATAGCTTCATCTCTATGAACTCCATTCCTTAAACGCCTTCTGCTTTTGCCTGCTATTCCACTGCAGAGTCCTCGAGATACTGTCGATCCAATCCGTTCTCCTCTTGTTCAGTGGCAGCACGCTGGGGAACGGGAAGCGACTTGCGCTAATCGTAACGTAGTCGCCAGGCTTGAGTTCGACCCTTTCTCTGCCGTCAAAGCTGGCCCAAGAACTTGTTCTCGCGTCGTATGGTACACCGCACCGGAGTACGATGGTATCGGGAAGGATGATAGGTCTGAACGAGAGCGTATGTGCGCAGATGGCGGTAACGAGGACCACAGGGTTGTCGGGGTGGCAGAGCGATCCACCTGCCGCAAGGTTGTACGCAGTCGAGCCCGTAGGCGTAGACACGCAAATACCGTCAGCCTGCACAGTCGTGAAATGCTCGTCGTCTCCGAACAGCTCGATGGACGACATTGTAGGGTTTGGGCCCCGGTCTACGACCACCTCGTTCAAGATGTTATGTGTACCATCGGAGTAGTGGGTATGGTGGTCGTCGATTTCCTCCCCGATCAGTTCTTCCACCAGATCGCGGCCCTCGCCGTCCCGTTGTTGGGATCGCATGACGGTAGCTTCGAAGCGGAGACGCAGGCTGACAGTGATACCGTCCGCGAAGGCGGTAGATAGGGATTGCGGGTATAGTTCGAAATCGAATTTGGTGAGGAAGCCGAGCGAGCCTAGTGAGAAGGAAATCGTTGGAGGTACGATGCGCTGGAAGAGCCATGACGCATACAAGACTGTGCCGTCACCACCCAGCTGTGTTGTCGTTAGCCTTGAAGACTCCGCAGTATGACATGTCTTACCGCGAGGACAATGTCAAAGGTTTGTGGCTTTTGAGCGCACATCTCGTTGGTCCAGAATTTGAGCCGCCCTTGAAAGCCCTCGTTCTCCAACAGCCCAGCAGCGTCGAAGATCTTGTTGTCCTCCAGCGTCTGCTCGACGTAGCTATGTCTCGTTAATCGTGTCCGTTGCTAGGCAAAACTAGCACATACACCGTATGCTCCGAGCTCTTCCGCAGAAGCCAGTCGGTCACCTCGCGCGAGTTCTTGATCAAGGCCTCGTCGTGCGCTTTGCCGAGGATAAAGATGTTCTTCACATGCAGCTTCAGCCTGATCTGGGACAGCTTCTTGGACAGCTCGCGTATTCCAAATGCCATATCCGACAGCTCCTTCTTGGTCAACAGCCGCGAATGTTGCGTCTGCTCCGAGCGCGCCGAGGCTGGGTCTTTGTCGACGCGCCGTTCCTGCGCGAGGCCTTCGTGCGATTGGGAGTGATCTTGTACGGGCAAGCCATCGTGCTTTTCGAGAAGGGAGTGTACGATACACGCGGTGGTACGGCGACCGTTCTCAGGGCGGGACGTCATCTTGCCAGAGGGTGGGGGAGCGAGCGAGGCTTTGCGACGATGGCCGCTATATCCGCCTTCGAAGACGACCTGCGATTATTGGTCAGCGCGTGGAGGAAGGATGCAGTGGAGTAGGTACCTCTAGCGCATCGTCATGGCTGGTCACCTTGGTGATATTCTTGGTGTCTTGGTCTCCAAGCTCGCTCTCCATGAGGAAGTTAGCCTCAACGCGTCGTTATGACGTTTGGGGGGTGCATAGGTACCTCGATTGCCTCCTGAACGCCAGGGCTCAGCTGATCGAAATAACTCGTCGCCATGGCTGAAGTGCGCAAATAGTCCTGCGATTGAAAGGGCCAAGAGACACGGCTGCCCTTTTGTAGCCTTGCTGTAGCGCGTGCGTGGTGTCGAAGGTGCAACAGTAACTGCGGTTCTCGGCCCACTTTCCGAGGGGCAGGCACGCCCGGCCCCGCTTGCTTCCAATCATGTCCGCGCAACGCCGATGAGATCAGCCGCCGGCGTCCTTACTCATGCCTTTTGCTCAACCACCATCGTTTTCGTGATGGTAGTCTTGCTGACAAAGGATGCTAAAGCGGAACTTCCACTGATTCTAGCACTTCCTCAATGACATCCTCAACTGTGACACCCTCAAGGACAGCCTTGACTGCCTCGAGCGAGCTGCCCCATTGCATGCTGCGCTCGTTCTCTGGTGCAGTAATGACGATGCGATGTGGGTATATCTTGCGAGCGGCGAGGGCGATCATGGACGGCGAGATGTAATCGAGACCGTGGAGTGGGGCGAGCGTACTACTGGCGTCAGTACCATCTTGATGAGATTGTGGACCACTCACTGTGCCAGCGTGTTGAAGTGTCTTGTGGCCAAAGCAGAGATGCCTCCTGCAACTGCTCGATGCAGTCGCATGAACACGATAATGTTGTATAGATAGGCTCTTACTTCAGAACTGATTCTGACTTGCGATACCAGCTTCGTCAAAGTCTCAAGGTCCTGTCCTTGTTAGTATGGAACAAGCATAGTACGGTCGACATACATCAGGCAGGAATAATGCTTGCTGCGGCTTATGCTTTCCCGGTTGGAATGGCGGCGTGCGAACTACGGAAGACATTGATGCACCGTCGTCTGATGCATGATTCTTTTCTTGCAGTTCTTCAAGATTAGGCAGTCCATCATCTTCTTGATGCTTGTGTGAGATGAAGAACTGATCATTCTGTAACATTGTTAGACTCTGCATCGTGAGTTTAGATTAGACTTACCAGATGCATGGTTAAACGCGGCGTGTCTGAAGCATTCAAAGCGATGAATAGGAACGGTTTCGGGGCCGCATGTACTGCTGTCCTCGTAAAGTTCCGCTTGCCTCGTATCAGCTGTCTATCGTTAGTTATGCTCGAGCAGAAAAGACGGCTGATGCACCTCCAAGGCCTGAATCTGAACTTGCGGATTCGCCCTGTTGAGGTTTCTTGCAATAACAATGTTCGCGATGCGTTGGTTGTCCAACGGACTGAACGGTTTGGATGACCTCGATGTATGTCCGCCAGGCTTCCCAGGTGATACTGAGATGGACGAAAACTGGCTAGACATTAGTCGCTGGCAAATCAGTCTACATGAGCACAAGTTACCTCTCCTCTGCCACGCCCAGCTTTGTTGCCGAAGTAGTCGTTCTCTTCTCCTCTCACAAGGATTCCGCTTCCGAAATCGTCCAGCGTGGTGTGCTCGGTGCATTCCAGCACAGCCCATGTTAGTCCGAAAGTATTGGTAGCGACCTATTGTTGTAAGCACACAGCCAGTCGCGCAGTGCGAAGCAACTCACAAGTTTCAACTCCTCCAGAACGTCACGGGTCAATTGCCTTTCCGCTTCGATGATGCAATGTTGATCCGCGACCAAGCAAATGAGAACGGCGAGCTCCAGATCGCTGAGCGACTGCACTTTCTCCGTAATGCGATCTTCCGGAACTTCCATTGTCGATAGGGTCTGGGAAGGCTTACTTCGTTCTTGTGAAAGTTTTAAACCTGTAGGAAGTCTGGCGACGAAAGTGCTTGGACGCGATGGCTGTTTCCAAAGTCGCGTTCGGTGAGCGAACAGGGATGTGATGCCGCTAGTTCAAAAAAGGACTGGACCCAAGTCCCCTGGAAGTCGCGCCCGGGCGGGCTGCGAGGCCACCGCCAGAACGACTTCACAGCAGCAGCTCAGCATATGCGCACGATACTACATTTCCAAGGGAGTTATGTAACTTCTTTGTTCCATTCGTTTATGATACACTCAATTGTTGAGGGCCATGAACGTCGTCAGACCGCGAAACCACCTCGTGCGCCTGCCCCATACTCCGCCACGTCTAACCCCAAACTCTTTCGCAACACGTAGCTTTCGGTCCAGAGGAGCTTAGCCAGACTTCTTCCGAGCGTCTTTGGTATCTTCTTTCGGGATGTCGACGAGACGAAGGCTCTTCCAGGTGGTCGACGGGATAGTTTTGGGTACTGCTGGAGAGCTCAGGGCAGGGAAAGCTTCCGTTGCCACACGAACTTTGAGAAGCCCTCCGGACGTATTGACAGATGGTTGTAGTACGGTTTCGTCATCTGCTTTCTCGTTGACAATAGCTTGCTCCTTCTTGCTCGCGCCCTTGGGTTTGCTCTTCATCTTCGATTTGTGAGAAGTCTTCTGCGAGGGAGCAGGCTTTAGCTTTTCCAGCTGCTCCTCGGCTTCTCGAATCTTTGCCTCGAGCGCCTCCTTTCTGACAGTCGATTCATTCATCTCCGCAGTCGCGTTCTCTAGCGTGGTCTGCCAGATAGCTACGAGTCCATCTAGATGCTGAAGCTCTGCGGCTTGGCGATCGAACGCTGTTGTAGATGAGACGTGCGGAAGTGCCATGGTATGTTGATCAACATGGCGAAGCTCATAGCTGGGCGTGTGTTCTCCAGGTAGTGGCTTGTGCTCCTTCTTCAGCTCATCGAAATCCGCCTGGAGTACCGCCTTCTCTGTTTGAAGAGCTTGATTATCGTTGCTGAACTGGTCGTAGCCTTGTCGCAGAGCTTTTGCCTCATCATCTCGTTCCTTGTACTTTTGCTCCCACTCTAGCTTCGCTTGCTTGAACAGCGCTTTCTCCCGGCCTTCTTCTAAGACCCTTGCTTCCAATGCCTCCTTCTCTTGGAGAACCTTTGCGTATTGCATAGCTTTGGCTTCTGCTTTGCTTAGACGATCAGAGAGCTTGATCTTCTCACTGCGCATACGCTCTTCCACTAGCTTTTGTAGATCTGTGTAGTGCTTCTTCTTCAGCTCACCATACTCATCCTCCAAGGCCACCTTTTTCTTGGCAAAATCGCGCTGAATAACTGCCAACTTCAGTTGCAGATCATGTATGCTGTTTCTTCCTATCTCATTCGCAGCTGAAGACGCTGATCTCACGCCTTGGAGTTCTTTCTTTGCCTCGCCTAGCTGTTTCGTGGCGTCTTCCGCTTTGGTCGACATGACACGCCAGATCACCTCCATCGCTCGCAACACCTGATCCGCAAACGCGTCCCGTAATCTGTCGAAACTGGAGTCCACTCTCTTCTTCAAAATATCGCACTCAGCACGCGCTCGCTCCGCCAAGGCCTCACACCTCGAAGCAACATCTGGGACGGCCTGGCTGATGTATTTGACTTGTTCGAAGGCTATCTCAGCGTTCACTCTTCTGACTTGAGCATCTGACTGCGTTGCGACTACCCAATCGAGCTGGGTGCGTATCTGTACGAGTAGACTCTTCATGTTGAAGATCTCCAGGCCGACAAGATCGCCCATCTGGGACTCTAGGAATTTGAAGCCGAATATGCTCTGCTCAAAGCTTCGAATATCTTTGGGGTCGGTGGATTCGTAAGAGTTTTTCATGAGGTGGTCGGTGTATTTGTCAGTATTCTCCATGATAGTCAATGAATACTTCCAATCGCTGGTGTGAGGTCTTGATCTGCTGTTGACAGCGATATCGATGACTGCCTACGTGCAGGTGTGTGGATCGCTCTGGACTGCGCGAGAGTGTAGAGATAAGGATGTGAGCGCGCTCGATAATAATTTGGATAGAAGAATGCGATCGCGCAGAATCGACGATGGGGCAAGAGGTTTATGAGTGGTATCCTTTGGTGGAATGTCCGCTAGGTAAAGTCGTAGCCTTCAGACTGGGAGATGAGCGGACGCGGTACTTGCAAACAAAAAAGTGGGGTAGAAGACGCGTATAGCAGGTGAAAGGACGCACTTCCACTGTCACGGTCTACATCCCCCACGCCAAACTCTTTCCACTAAGCTCTGTGTCAAGCGGATCGCATTACGCCTTTGACGAGTAACGGGGTACGGCTCTGCTACGGCAATAGCGATGTCAATTCGTTCCCAAACCTGCGACAACGGGGCGATTCGTCGTCCTGCAGCATTTGAGCGTGCGGCGCTCGGTTCCCAAAGTGACGGTACGTCGTCTCTTGCCAGTCAGCAGGACGCCGTCAACGCCGATGATCGCGACCCTGTGTCTGTAGTCCCCGAGGTCAGTGTATACGTACTTTGATCTACATCTGTACTGACTGACATCAAGACCGACACAGACTGCGCATTTTGCACTTCTATCGGCCGTCTACTCAGTTGTTGCCAGGATCGAATGAACCCACGTTCGTGTCCTCATTGCACAGAGCTTGTTCAGCACCTCACCCGCAAAGATGAGAGGCACCGCGACGAGATAGCTGCTCTACACGACAAAGTGCGGGAGCTGGAAGAGGAAACACCGGAGCAGAGGTCCAACAGGCTGAGCGCCGAGAAGAACACCAAGATCGACAGATTGAAAAGCGAGGTCGAGAAGATCAACAAGGAAGACGAGTCACTGAAGGCGGAGAACAAGGAGTTGGAGAAGAAGCTAAAGATGCTTGATGCGGACATCAAGAAGTTACAGCCACCTGCGGAGTTCACAGTCAAACAGAAGAAGACGAAAGGGAAGAAGAAATAAACTTCTAATGTTCCCAAGATCGGCATGTTGCCGGGAATGGACATGAGAAGCGCTCTTTGCCGATTACATGATGATTTGGCACTGGTCCTACCTCTTCGGCGCGGCTTTGTAGTCTGTCCGCTAATCCAACAATTTACATCGATACCAAAACCCAAGGCTGGAACTTCCCAGCATCCGCATGCACAGGCTGAGGTACATCGTATCATGTTACCTATCCAGGGTTCTCCAGACGTTGTCGAGCTTGTTCAACCCTGGCGTCCAGCGATGCAACCTCTGCTTTCTTCTTCTCCATTCAATTTAGCCTGGCTAGATCTTTGCAGGTCCCTCCGTGGTCTCCTTCGACGTCTTGAGATCTGCGTTCTCTTTCTCTAACCTCGCATTCTGCTGCTCAAGCTCCTGAATGCTCGCTGCGGGGTCCAATGCCTGCTTCAAAGCAGTTGCAAGCCGTCGGTCCAGTGTCTTGGCATCATATCGGGTGAGGTTGAGATTACTCTCGGTGTTACTCAGAGCCTCATGCGTGAAGAGCTTGTCGACGCGCAGTTTATAGATTTCTTCGTCCTTCGAATCAGATGATTTTTTGAGCTGAGCAACCTTCAAATCAGATGTTCTTTTGAATTGGGCAACCAGTGTCTGCAGTGGCGCATACACCGTCTCCATGACCAGGTGGCGCAATATCTCGGCGTCAAGTTCCTGGCTCCGCAACGCAAACTCCTCATCGCGCAGCTCAGTACTCAGCTCTGTTAAGGCGGCCTCGGAAGTTCTCTCATGTTCTTTATCATCGGGCTGTGCTTGCTGTAGCTTAGCCATTTGTTGGCTGATGCTCTTGATAACGGCCTTGACCTCAGCAATCGCTTCGCCAGCACGGTAGCCTTCGGAAACCAGAAGAGCTATCGAAGAATGCACTCTTCGCAAATGAACTGCGATGAAAATCATATCCTTGTCGTGTAGCTCAAAGGTTGTTTTGACCCATTCCAGGAAATCGTCTTGGAATCTGACCTCATGCGTCGCGTCCTCTATTGATGGAGTAGTCGCGGATGGTATCGCTGCAGATACAGGATTGTCCGGACTGAACAGCCCGCAGACTGCGGATAGCCACTCTTGCGTACTCTCCAGATGCCGTTGACCAAAGGCACTTCGCACCGGACTTCCGGTAGAGTCATGCTTGCTGGAAACGCCCTGAACACCGGAGAGGCCGTTGTCATCTGGCCTTTGGGGGTGGAAGCCACCTTCATCAGCTGATGTAGGCGCCATAGATTCCTCGGTCTGGCCTTCGGTTGGTGGGTGGGGAGAGGACGGGAGGAAGCGGGATCCCTGAGAATTGTTTTGGGAGTTATGATCTGTGCACGTGTGCTCCGAAGCAGTCTCAGTATCGACTGGTGAGCTGCCATTTGACTTTTCAGGATTTTGCAATTCGTCTTGATCGGCTTTCTCATCAGTTTGAGACGTGCTGGACATGATGTGGTTTGAGAATGATCCGGTCGCGTTTTGTAGGTGTTTGGTTGTCCGACGTTCGTCGTGCTGATGGAATGATAATATGGTCGTACCTTTGGGGCGGTCTATCAGGCAGGCGGTTGTTGTTCCCGGAAGTCGGTCAGGTTTTGAAAAGCAGTGTAAGTGTCAGAGTTAGGCGGGAGTTGCGATGGAAGTTGTTGGTGCTTGTTTGTTCTATGTCATAACGGGAAATCGCGCTGGGACCTGCTGTACAGCCTTGGAAAACAGTCCATAAAATGACCGGCTCTTGTGACACAATCAGTCTCCCTTCGGTCTTCGTAATACACTCTACCCCACGTCGCCTGCATAGTCTTCTCTTATTACCCAACCTTTTAAGAAATACCTCGACCGAGTCCAACTCTCCAAACCCATCGGCTCGACCAGACTTCAACTACGTAGAAATGTCAGAAGATATGCCAAAAAGCAGCGCCCAAGAAAAGCGCGACTACATCAAGGCGTTGAAAATACAGATAGAGGAAGCAGAAGAAGAAGACAAGAAGCTAGAAAAAGATCTAGAAGAGCGGAGGCAGGAGCTGAAGGAGCTGGAGGCCAAAATGAGGGAGAAAGAAGGGATACCATCAAACTAGACATGGAAAAGAAGATGGCGATGAAGAAATGAGTAATAGGTAGAAGGGCAGCTTCGGTCGGGTCTTGGTTGATGTGAGGCGGTCTCACGATGAATTTCACGGATTATATAACAGTAGGAAGGCGTCACACATATGCGCAGCTGATAAGTGTTCTTCTATTTGTTCAAGGATCGCGCTCCGCGGTGGTATTGATGAATGCATGCAAAGGCCGCGACGTGAAGGCAAGACTGCGCGTACAATGGCATCTGCCACTTCCTGACTCGAATGCGAAACCTGGACGGTGAAAGCCCAAACCCCACAAATATCAGAACAGCGTGGCCTCTTGGGAGTTTGGTGGGAGATTCGCGATAGCTCAGGGACGGAGCTACGGCTAGCGCGCGCACGGGTAATTTCCCCAGCGACACGTTGCGAAAGCTCATGAAGCAAACCCCCTCTCCATCTTCCATCAACTGGCTGTTCGCAACCACCTTCTTCACCTTCTCGTTGTCTTCTTTCTTGTCTCTGGGCCATAGTTCGCAATCATGAGCGGCCGTAAGTCTCCACCCCACCTGTCAATGGCCCGGCGAGGCGTGCGCGCAACACCTGCGAGGAATTAATTACGGCGCGGACGAACACCACAGCTAACGGTCGCACGTAGTACGGTTCCTCGATCTCGTCAAGCCTTTTGTGCCTCTGGTTCCTGAAATTCAGCTGCCAGAGAGCAAGGTTCCTTTCAACAACCGCCTGGTATGGACCGGTCTGACCCTCCTCGTCTTCCTCGTCATGAGCCAGATGCCGCTCTACGGAATCGTGTCGTCTGATACCTCCGACCCGCTATACTGGCTCCGTATGATGATGGCGAGTAACAGAGGAACGCTGATGGAACTGGGTATCACCCCCATCATCACCTCCGGCATGGTTTTCCAGCTCCTCGCGGGAACCCACCTCATCGACGTCAACCTCGACCTCAAGTCTGATCGCGAGCTCTACCAGACCGCGCAGAAGCTCCTCGCTATTCTCCTGTCTTTCGGTCAGGCCGTCGTCTATGTCATCTCGGGTCTCTACGGACAGCCATCCGACCTCGGTGCCGGTATCTGCGTTCTCCTCGTCATTCAGCTGATGATCGCTGGTCTGATCGTTATCCTCCTCGACGAGCTCCTCCAGAAGGGCTACGGTCTCGGCAGCGGTATCTCGCTCTTCATCGCCACTAACATTTGCGAGTCCATCATGTGGAAGGCTTTCTCGCCCACCACCATCAACACTGGTCGCGGTCCTGAGTTCGAGGGTGCTCTCATTGCCCTTGTCCACCTGCTCTTCACCTGGCCCAACAAGACTGTTGCGCTCAAGGAGGCTTTCTACCGCCAGAACCTCCCCAACGTCATGAACCTGATCTCCACCGTCATTGTTTTCGGTGCTGTCATCTACCTCCAGGGCTTCCGCGTTGAGATCCCCGTCAAGTCCGCCCGCCAGCGTGGTGTCCGTGGCTCATACCCCGTCCGCCTGTTCTACACCTCCAACATGCCCATCATGCTGCAGTCGGCTCTGTCCTCCAACGTCTTCTTGATCAGCCAGATGCTCTACAACCGTTTCTCCGACAACCTTCTCGTCAAGCTTCTCGGTGTCTGGGAGCCCAAGGAGGGTTCCGCTCAGCTTTTCGCTACCTCCGGTGTCGCCTACTACATGTATGTCTAGTCACAGTTCACGCTACAGAACCAGCCACTAATTAGCTTCAGGTCTCCCCCTCTCAGCATCACCGAGGCCCTCTCCGACCCCCTGAAGACCGCCATCTTCATCGTATACATGCTCGTCGCGTGCGCTGTCTTCTCCAAGACCTGGATCGAGGTTTCTGGCTCGTCTCCCCGCGATGTCGCCAAGCAGCTCAAGGAGCAGGGTCTGGTCATGGCTGGTCACCGTGAGGAGTCCATGTACAAGGAGCTCAAGCGCGTCATCCCCACTGCTGCTGCCTTCGGTGGTGCTTGCATTGGAGCTCTGTCCGTCGGCAGCGACCTTCTCGGTGCTCTCGGTAGCGGTACTGGTATTCTCCTTGCCGTAACCATCATCTACGGATACTTCGAAATTGCCGCCAAGGAGGGCGACATGGCCGGCCTCAAGGGCATGGTCATGGGCTAGATCAGCCCATAGGGATATTGGATTTTTGGTTTGAACGACGGATGGGTTGGGGCTGGGGTGCTTCGCCGCACATTGTAACATATGATCTAAGAACAAAAGTTTACGAAGGTCTCTGGCATCACTTTACGTACTGCAGCGTGGCGTCTGGCTAGGCTCACGATGTCGGCCCTTCTCTAATGTATCATTGTTAACCCTCAACTGCGTTTGGACATGACCGCACCTGCAGTATTCACTTGAAGCACTCACGTGCTCAGCCTTGGCGTGTTGCTCCTGGCGCCTTACTCATCGAGCTTCAGTCGTTCTTACCCTGTGTGTTGCTTGCACCTAGGTATTGCATCCAACGACAGGTATGCCTCCGCCGTCATCAAGAGCCCACGTCATGGATTCAGTCTTCAACAGCAGCATCGCATTGGCCAGCTTAGCGAATGCGAAACGTGGCTTACGTGCGTACCAAACCGCCACGCTAACGCATGCTGCGGTCTGCGATGCGAAAGCCTGGGCATTGCGGCCTAGGAAATATCGTCATACACAGCATTGAGGCGTTTTACACATGGGTAATGCGAAGAACAAGCGAATGCGATGTACTGCTGCGCATGCGAAATCTGGTCATGATGCAGAGCGTGTCTTCAGTTTTGACGAGTACATAAGATGGGATTGTCGCTGCTTGTGGTGAGTTATTGCAGCTATCTATTTCACTTCTTCCTCGAGTTCTAGTACTCATACTTGATCGTTTCGCTCGGGTTCCGGTTATTCTGTCATCATGGCAAGCTCAATTAGTATCGCTCATGCTACGCTGGACTGGAAACGACAGAATCCGCCCAAGGGACCAGACTTCGATTGGGAAATGTACCGTTATGTTCCTTCTATGGCTGGAGCGATCGTCTGCCTCGTTGTGTTCCTCGTGATGGCTTTTCTACATCTGTACCAGTTTCTCAAGTCGAGGAATCGGATTATCGTCTTTGTGGTCATCGGCGCTCTGTGTACGTTGTCCACTTCTTGTTCCGCATATTGAAATCGTCCCTCGAAAACATCTAGGATCTTTGCTAATATATGACTATAGGCGAAGTTGGCGGATACGGCGCACGCATCGCTTCTCACTTCGACAACCAAGCTTGGGGCCCGTACATTACTCAAGGTGTACTGACACTTGTCGGTCCTCTGTGGTTCGCTGCGACCATCTACATGATGCTCGGCCGTACCATCAGACTCGCCGGCGGGGAAGACGTCAGTCTGATCCCAGCGAGATGGTACACGAGGATCTTTGTTACCGCGGATGTCACAACGTTGATTATCCAGGGCTTGGGTACGCGAATTCGACATGGACGAAGACTGAAAGGGGATTTAGCTAACGAAACAACAGGCGCCAGTATCATGGGCACCATGCAACTCGCTCTCGCTCTCGCAGGCGAGAAGATCGTCATCGCGGGCCTCGCACTCCAAGTCGCTACCTTTATTGTCTTCCTCGCCGCTTCATTCGACTTCCAGATCCGCATGAACAAGAAAGCCGATCATGCATCAACAGACTGGAAGAAGATGCTATACATACTCTACAGCGTCAGTGCGCTGATCTTGTTCCGCTGCACGTTCAGACTCATCGAGTATGCCATGGGCAACGCTGCGTATCTCATCGCGCATGAATGGACGCTGTATTGCTTCGATGCGGTACCAATGTTTCTAGTTCTGGTTTTGTTACTTGTTCTGCAGCCGAGTCGCTATGTTGAGGGAAACTTGGGGAAATCGCGACTGGATAGCTCAGGCGAGGTCGGCGTTGTGGAGAGAAAGTGATGGGTTTTGGCAGTTTGGTCAGTACTTTCAGCGCGCTTGGAGCCTTTTTCCCGGGTGTCCTCTATTTTCCTAAGGGCAATACATTTTGCCTCTTCTCTTCAGTCTGCTCACGACATCATCTTTTCGGTGAGTCTTGGTATGTTTGCCTGGACGCACGCAAGCGAAACATCTCAAATGCCTTCGACTTTGCACAGCAGGCTGTAACATGTTTTCACATGCCAATAACGTTTATTTGAGCTTGACAGCCGGCCGTTGCGAAAGCTCACTCTGGCCCCTATGACGTGCATGACTCGAGGTAAGTCAGATCTTAGCTCTCAAGCTTGGAAACAAGCGCCCCCAGCCACATCCGGCGGCACGCCTCACGCAGCACCACCTCATGCTTCCACAAAATGTGATTCCTCAATCCATACTAGCTACACACAGACATCAAACGGGATGGCGCGCCGCTCCACCACGTTCGTGACTAAAAGGCCGCATCGCAAATCGAGGGGCGGATGCTTCACCTGCAAAAAGAAGAAAGTGAAGGTAAATCCAGGCCTGAGGAGACTCGTATGGAATCATGAAATTGATATGGTACAGTGTGACGAAGCGCAGCCCAAATGTGGATACTGTAACCTCCGAGATTTGGACTGCGAATATATTCAGAATGTCCCCTCGACATCTCGGACGTCGTCCGCCGGCCCATCGTCCAGTGACGAGGGTCTACCATCTGCATCCAACACTCCAGCAAACTTCAACGATCTTTCTGCCCAGTTGATACCATATCTTAGCCCACACTGCCATACATCCATAGGCACCCTCACAGCCCTTGACAGTCATCTATTGCAATACTACAGAACAGACGCCTACCGCACCGTCGTATCCTGCGACGATGCTATCATCCAGAACCTACACAAAGAGACCATACCCCAACTAAGCATCTCCAACCCATTTCTCCTATACGCTCTACTTGGTATGACAGCAACCTACAGCAACAACATGACGCCCAACAAGACGGTCGAAAAGCAAGCCCTACTCTACCGCCAAAAGACGTTCTCGACCTACAAAGAAGCCCTCAAGAACATCACAGCCGAAAACTACGAAGCCGTTCTCGTAACAGGGGGTCTTCTCCTCGCGCTCGTCCCCGGGCCAGCCACCGACACAGACGAAGATTACCTCGAATGGGTGTTCGGCCTCCTCAAACTAAGCGAAGGCCTGCGTATCCTCGCTTCCCTCCGCTGGGCCCAAGGCATCGAGAAACTCTCCGTGTACCCGTTAGTACGCCGGGAAATCAAGACGCTGCCACCGCCACCCATCGTAGATGTCGCAGGCATCGAAGCGCCCATCGGTCCTCTGGGAACCACACCTGATAACCCAAATCCAGCACCGACATACACGCCCATCCATTTCCCCACGCAAACCCGCCTCTTTCTTCCACCGCCCCTGATGCAACTCCTCCAAAGCGTTATCCGAGGAAAGGAGTCAGGAACGCTAGATTGGCACCGACCAACCCTTCTCCCCGTCTTCCATGCCTTATCCCCCATCTTCCTATCTCTGTATTACTACGGGCTAGACTCTGACTTCTACGTCCGCATCTTCGTCTGGACGTCCTTCCTTATGCCAGACTACCTTCAGTTGATGCGGGACAAGGAACCAAGGGCTCTGGTGCTATTCGGGTGGTGGTTGACGCTGGCGAATCTAGCGCCGAAGGGGTGGTGGACGGGGAAGCGAGTGCGTAAGACTATTGGGGCGATGGTGCGGGCGATTCAAGCGCAGCCTGTGGGGGATGGTGGGTTTGCAGAGCGCGTTTTGAGGAGTGCGTTGAGGATTGTTGATGTTGTGGATAGGGAGGGGAAAGAGGCGGCGGCTAAGGCGGTGTTTGACGATTGGCCTGGTGTTAGTTGGGAGGAGGGGCCGGGGAGGGCTCAGGCGTGGGAGTATGCTCAGCTGGTGGATTTGGGGGATTTGGATGGCGGTTTGGATATGGATGCTGCTGTGGGCATTGATCTACAGGAGCTTGGTATATCGGTTTAACGTTCATCTAAATTCCAATACGCATGTTTTGGCTGTAAGCCTCCTTATTGTCCTAGCTCGGGCGTTGTCCCAGCTGTCTCTGCAGCAACCTTTTTGTTTCCTGCCTCCGAACCCTCTTGGTTCCGCCCGCCTCTTGGCTCCCTGAGCATGCAATATAGCTTGATAGCGTCCTTCTCCCCCTCTCCGTCCCTGCACTCCATCTCCCTCGCCAACCGAAAGCCAAACTTCTCATAGATGGCGATATTCGGCTCACTCCTGCTACTCTCCAAATAGCACATCCTCCCCTCCTTATCAGCCATATCCAGCACCTCTTCCATCAGCGCCCTCCCTACGCCCTGTCCCTGACACTCCGGCAACACAGTGACAATATTGCAGAAATAGTATCCCTTTGGGTCCGTCCAGAGTTCAGACTGCGCCTCTGCCTGTCGCGCCTTCCATATCCAATATCGTGTTGTGCTGAGGCCACCGCGCCCATACCACAGGTTCATGCGTATTTGGTTGGCCCAGAGATACCAGTACGAGAGGTACAGTGACCAGGACTCGGGCTCGGACGTGGGTCGTGGGGGGAGCCACATGGCGCAGCCGAGGATCTTGGACGGGTTCGACGTGTCGCGTGCGACGTGGAAGAGGCCATGTTCGATGCCCCATCGGCAGCGCAGGGTGAGGGATACGCGATTTCGTACTAAAGAGACCTGAGATGGTGAGCAACGCGCGCAAGAAGACGGGTACTGAGGTAAGTACCTTTTCGCGATCTGGGAAGACCCAGTTGTTGTAAGGATCATTGGCGAAGGCTTGTTGTATCGTATCGATCGCGCCGTCGATATCGGCCTCTTTCATGCGCGTTACTTGGATAGGCATTGCGAGAGGTTCTGTGGTGTTGAGGAATTTCGAGACTCTTCGTGTCACGGCGGCAGTAGATACGAAGATAATTGCGCCAGTCTCAAAACTGGCAAACTTCGATAACCAGCCATGATAGGTGCGGGGAGGTTTGTAGAGCTTGTCGCATTCAACATGTGGATAGGTGATGAGATGGGAAGGTCTAAGCGACAGTCACGTGCATTGCGGGGCCTTCCGATGCTTATCTGAGCAGGCGCGTACGAACCAAGTTCACCAATCCTACCTGCAGCTGTCTTGCCCATGTTACACAGCTTCAGCCTCGTAACCATGTCAGCTTTCAGGAATCAAAGTCCGGCGTTGGTGCCTTGGACCTGCGTGACAACGCACACTAAACACCATGGAGACTTCCAAGCAAAGACTCAGACGGGCTATGCGACTTCCTGGCCCATCCATTGGCTTGAAACGATCCCAGACAGATACTACTAATGGCCAAGTTCAGCTGCGCCCTGGCGATCAGGCTGAAGGTGGGGTAGAGCCGGCAGTAGCAGATCTGCTTCATCGCCGGTCCATGTCTCCTTCGCTACAATCTAGTGCACAACAACTTACCATGCCGCCAAACACTAGCAGCTTTCCTGATAGATGGGCCGAGATAAGGCGAAAGGCCGAGCTGAGGCAAACGGGTCAAGGAGCCGAGCAAAACGAGGAAGAAACCCAAGATGAAGAGACCATCGAGAGTCGCGTGGCACGCATAAAAGCTCGAGTAGCAGAGTTGACAGGCAACTATGAGAAAGGCTTCCCTGTTCCTACTGAGCAAAACCAAGAGAGACCATTAGCACTGCACACCCGTCGACATACGGCTGGGAACATCACCACCTCCCCTAATGCACAACCTGCGCCTCGTCACAATGATATTTGCATGGAACTTGTAGTCTTCGACGATGCCTTATCTGAGCCGTCCGTCATCAAAACCGTTGGAGATTCTACCCGAACATCGTCAGGGGATGGAAGCGATCCGACTCATATCGAACGAGACCTATTCTGCAGAACATGGGATTCGAAGCCAATACTAAATCGTATATTATCGGAGATAGGTGTTGCAAGCCCTCGAGATGCTCTCGATAGCCTTGGGATTACCGATCTGTGGCTACCGCTGTCGAAACAACTACTCAAACGATTACTGAGTGATCCTCGTCATGTCTCAGAGTTTCTGAAACTACAAGACGAACATCTCAGTGTGGTTCTTGCGTATTGGACGCAGCTTGTCACAGGAGAACGTATACACGAGATGATGTTCAGTCACTGCGAGTTTGAGGACGACGAAGAGATATTCGAGGAGAATCGTTTGCTCGGCGAAGGGATGGTCGGTCTTGTCGAGGAGGTAACTGTACGAAGCCGAGAACCACCTCTTATATGCGTACGAAAGAAAATTGCAAGGCCTAAACAACTCAAAGCTCACCGGCAGATCATGGCTGCCTTCATCCGAGAGATCGGGGTTATGCGTCAAGTCGATCATCGCCACTGCGTTCGGTTTCTTGGGAGTTATACCGACAATGAGTCTGTCAATATTCTCTCGACCCCGGTGGCTGACATGGATCTTGCTGCCTTCCTCGATAAGCCTATTGGGGACCGGGAATGGGCCATACTCTACAAGGGCATTGACTGTGTTTGTAACGGGCTGTAAGTGCATACCAACCTACCCTTCCACGCCATCGAGCTCCAGACAGTGATCATGGGGGGATGGCAGACTGGCTGCAAAGTTGACATAAGTGGAAGCTTTTGCTAATTGCCCTCTAGATTGTATCTCCATGACAACAAGATTCGGTAAGTGCGTTGAATTGTACTCAGGAAACTTTGAACAAGCCGCGCTATATGATCGCTTTCGTCTGCTCCTTTCAGTAGACTGCCGAAAATGATAAGGCTGACACGACTCAGGCACGAGGATCTGAAGCCTCAGAACGTTCTTGTTCATGGCACCAACATATTGCTCACCGACTTTGGATTCAGGTGAGTTAGACCCGAATCACGGCACTGTAGTACTAACCTTGTATAGCTTGGATTTCTCTGACGACTCTGTTTCGACAACTACTGGGCGACCATCAGCATGGACTATTCGATATTCCGCGCCAGAGGTCTTAGATTCTGAGCCCCGTAATCGAGCTAGCGACATATTCTCCCTTGGATGCGTTCTGGTTGAGATCGTTTCGGGACTTCACGGACACAGTCTCTCTGAAGTCAAGGAATTCTGGAAGAAGACTAGTAACGGACAATCCAGTTTTGCACGCAACCCAGAGGCAACATCTTCATGGCTCGGATCGCTTCCATCTCATCCCAAAAGCACCAGACTTAAAGCCATTATCATCCTCTTGCCAAAACTGCTGGTTACAAAACGTCTTGATCGACTGCCGGCCCAGTCAGTGGTGAATGGGTTGCACAATTTGAGCCTACATCTACCGGATGCACCCAGTCTTCGCAATACGTGCTGCGGGAATAAGGAGAGGTGACTTGCCAATCTCAGCTGATCCACAGCTCTGGTCCGATCTTCACAGTTACTTCGATGCTGTTGCAGACTTCGCAATGACTCTTGTCGAACTTGACCGGCGCTTCAAACAAGTCGCTACTAAGCATGACTATTACTCCCACTCAAGATATGCTCAGCGATATTCCTCCGATCACGGCTGCATGCGAAATACTCTTCCCCCAATCCAGTCAGACAGAGCAGATATCATCCTACTGGACACGGTTGACGACCGGAGGTGCGGTTTTGTGACAATGTGAGAGTTATGTACATAGTAGAGGTTACCCAGCCGATAAGAGCGCGGATGTTACACTATAACTACTGCGTGAGGCTTCGGGTATGTAGGGACATCTTAAGTGACGAGGCCCTAAATGGGCGAAAGCAAAGCATGGCGAATCTCAGGGCTACAAGCTCACGGCATGATGTATTTTCCAAGTTCTTGTAGAATAACCTTACCAAAAGTCCAAGATCATGTCCTAGACTACACACAAATCCGGATTTAGATCAAGATCCGTATCGCCTACAGCTAGAGCTTAGACAAGGAGCATGACATCGGCCCATCGATTATGTCATGATTCGTGTAGTGAGTGTGCTCGATATGCAGTCGTAATCAAGGACGAACTGATCTGAATGGTATGAGAGAGGATGTCATGCCTAAGCGTGATAATGCTGCCCAAGGTGATGATCCTCAGCGTCAGCACCACACCAGAGACCACTTGACAACGAAAAGGAAAGAGGACGAGGCAAGTAGGACTAATGGTGTACGAGACCCAAGTGTGAAAGGCAAATGTACAGCATCAGCAGCGATCCAAGCAATGCAACCGAGGTCGCAAGGTCCAATTGCAGTCACTATGTGTTAGCGAACAGACAAAGTGGTGGAATAGTTGTCGTCCATGGTCCACACGCTCATAAGTACGCTGCGCATCAAGCGTACGCTTTTTGTGTGACTCAAAAACCTAGATGCGCAGACGCATGCTTACCTTTTCCCTTAACCAACATCACAACGAATCAAGCAACCAAAAAGCTGCATGATTGCTTTTCGTCACCAAGACATTCCGCTTCCGCGATAACGCTCATACACACGCAGCACACACACACATCGTGATAGTTCTACACACGAACCCACATACTCACCGCTCGAACCCAAAAGCCCATACTCACACATGCGCTTATGTCAACATGTTCGCACAAAGCAAGCCCCGCACTACACTACAGGACACTACCCCAACCCCAGCCCAACGTCTATTCGTCATAGGATCGACAGTCCTGCATGGCCTGGTCAGTCAGCCTACCGAACCCAGTCCAGCCCAGTCCGATGACACCCTCCCGCACTGTGCGCGGGCGAAGCGAGTGAGCATGAGCGGTTCCGGATAGCGAATGCGAGTATGCATGGGGAGCTGGTAGACCTGTTTTGACCGGGCCGTTGTTGGGTTGGGAGTTGATGGTTGATGCGGGTGTGTGGCATGACATGTGTGGCGAGGAGGCGCTGCTTTTTTGTCCCGGGGGGCTATGCTATGCGATGCTCTGAGTCTGTCGTGATTGATGTGGCGAGGGACATGTACATGGTCTTCGTACTTGGGCTGCGTAGTCGGCCCGCTGCGTACATGTATGTGTATACTTATCGGTGGATGGAGGTGACCGGCGTTGTTGATACGAACGTCTATCGTGTTAGGTCTATTGAATATTTTTGGTGGTGTTAGGACATGAGTAGGCACATGATGTCAACGTCCGAACGTCGGCATTTTCGTCCTTTGCGATCAACATGTCGACGATCTCTGTTCAACATCTTAGGCTCTCGCTTACGGCGATGTAGTATACCGTGAGTAATCAGCTGATTCGCCGGGTTATACAGCCTTGTGTCCGGCTTTTTCCTTGAACCGTGGCGCTGTAAAGGTTAGGTATGAGGAGCAGGCAGCCAACCTTGTTCGGATATAGAGCATGGATGCAAGCGCGAATACGGAATGAGACGGGTTGGATACTTCGTGAGCTTCCGCTTAAAGGCACGATTATCGGCGTTGCATCCGTAGCGACGATCCGGAAATTCTTGGTTCCGAACTGTTACCTGGCATTTTAACATGCACATGGAAGGCACAGTAAATAGCAATAATATCCCAGGGTGCTGAGGCAGCAGAACCAGGCCGTGTTGCAAGATGCATCTGCCGGAGGACAGGCGGAGACGGGTACTGTACGCAGCGCAGCATAAGTGGGCAGCTAACAAGACGCAACTAGAGATTCGAAAGCGAGAACCTGAGCCATCCTTGGATCATCGTGGTACTTGTTGATCAACTGAGAGAACTTAGCCTCCGCAAAGTCGAGACCATCCGTATGACAGCGTATAGCGCCTGCATGTACCCTTGAACTGTAAAGGGTGGGTAACTATAAGGGCAGATAGTACCACTTGGTGTGCATACAGGCGACCCGCTGGCGGCCGACGATTCAGTGTTGGGCAGTCAGGCAGCCAGTACGTGGGAGTGCGAGACCGATCGGAAAGAGCGGAAGCAAGAAAAAAGTCGATGAAACGCAGTCCGGAAAGTTAAGCCACCGTGTTGTGTGGTGCGGGTAGTCCTTGAGCGGTCTGTTTGGGGCAACTCCAGGTCATCCTAGGCACCGGATTACTGTTAATGCTAGTAGCCAAGAGGGGTGGTGTTGCGAATGCGGGCGCTGATGGAGCGCGTACTAGCCGCATCGCCGTGAAAACATCGGTGTGTTCGACAAAGAGGCAAGCCGGGGCTGCCGTGGTCATCAGACAGGCTGGGAGGCAGGTGCGAAGGCGGCAAGTCGGGCAATAAGCGACGTGCGTGTACTTTACGCAGAAACCGATCTATGTCCTGGGCGCCCAAAAATAGGGCGTTCAATTTGCTGAGACGTACAAATCAGGACCATGCAGGTGTGACTGCTTCTGCGCATAATCGTAGGCGAATAAAGAAGGTACTTCGGGTCGTCGCTCAGTGGTGGAAGTGGACTTTTGGGATCGCCGCGTAAGCACAATTTAGCCTAGAGCATGTCTAGAATAAGAAGATAGGCGATTTGCCGATCTGGTGAGGTGGAAAAATTCATGGCGCATGCATGGCATCCGTGGGCCCGTTTGCACCGTCATACACCTGACGGGGAACTACTTGCATAGGAGCTTCCGTAAGTGAGTCTCAGTTGGCAACTCAAGGATGGTCACCTCCACACAAAGGACGGCCCTTGTCAGCAGTGATGCACGCAGTAGTACCGAGCCTTGGATTGCATTTGACACATCGCCTGATGTAACAGCGGCCGAGTGCATGACTGGCGGGCACCAAGTTGTGTCTTACAAACGAATAGCAACTGCTATATAGGGTTCCGACTAGGGGTGTGCTGCTGGAATATTAAAGCGGAGTGCAATTGCCGGATTGGTGCGTAGTATTACAAGACTGAGATCGGTGGTGTAACTGTAAGCGGTAAGCATTATGCTAGAGGTGGCCCGACCTCGGATATTCTATGTGGCAGACGTGCTGATCGAGAAACTTTGCTCTATATTAGCTGCCATGTCGACACAAGTTGCAGCAGCAAGCGCCTCAATACACCCTGATTCATGATGACGGCTGGATCCATCGCTCCTCAGGATGCATTGTTGTATTGGATTTGAGGCGGTTGGTGGCAGCTAGGTACCGAACCTAAAGAGGTGCGACAGGCAAAAGGGTCGCGGTGGAGCGGCAGAAGGAAAACAAACGCTCGTACTGCGTGAAACCGAGTCACCGCCGGGCCCTGGTAAAGTGGAGAAAATTTTGCGGAGATGCAGGCTGGCTTCAGCTGCTGCGTCGTAAGACAATTAGCATGGGATCGCCCGACAGAAGTTTCATCAGTTGCGCGCTCGGGTGAAGCGAAGGTACAGACGTGTACACGATACCCACGGTCCGGCATGCTCGTGCGGCAGTCTTGGCTAGGTAAAAGTGATGCAGAGTCATGGCTTCTTCTTGTTAATGTACCAGCAAGTTGTACACACAAGCGAGTCAACGGCTGTGAGCTGGCACAATGGCGGTCTGACTGGTCAGACTCGTACCCCGGCTACGAGCGCATATCGTGTATGTGGAAATGCCATCTTGCCCCATGGTCGTAGCCCTAGTGACGTTGAGTGGGGTGTCGGTGTCCGATTCCCTCTTCGTGCGTCACACGCGCATGTTCGAGATGCTGTACCGCTGGTGCTTGCCTGAGGTGTGCAGTAGGACTTGTTTCCGGCAAATATCCAAGATTGCGTCGAGCACAACTTGCAGCAGTAAGGAGGCTCACCGACGAGCTAGTGTGGCTGCTGATCCAAGCAGACAGGAGGCTTCAACGGAGGACGGCGATTGGACAAGGGGCTCTCGACGTTGAGCAAGTGGGCTCGCGAGCCGCCTGGTGAGGCTAATGCTCGCTGGTGGGCAAGGATAAAGTGCCGCCGCGCCCGCAAAGAGAATTTCGCGTTCGCATGGGCCGACCATGATCTAGAACACATCACACGCAGACAGCCCGATACCATGCTAAGGGAT